ATAACCAGCAGATAAGACTCTCCCAAATGTTGCCAGCCGGCCGCACGCCTACCTGTGTCCGCAGAGAGCCCAAACCGGGTGAAATTTCCAACGATTTTTCGAAAACAAATTAAAATTCCTAATTCCTAAATCCAAAAATAAAAGCGCAAGCACGCCCTTCAACGACAAACGACCAGCCGGCTTGCTTGCTTCCGAAACACACAGAAACAGCAAAGACACAACATCTTCACCGACAACAACAAAAACATCACCACAGGAACAGCATCCTTTTTGTCTGTGTGATTTCAAACCAAACAACAAATCGATCTCTTCCCTCTCCTTCTGCCAGTGGTAGGCCAGGAGCAATCCATATTCCTCAGAGACAGGTTCCTGCATCCGCTTCTGCACTCTGAAGTTTTTCCACCTGCCTGTCTACTTTCATTGCGCAAAGAGATTGTCAGTGTGTACCATAAAAGCCCCATTGTGTTGTGCCAAGTCCTCGCTTTTATAAGGTTGGAGACTTGGTGCAGTGAAGTAATTAAGATGTCTGGACGGTCTACAGGTAGGAATGCTACTGCTCTGCGACGAATCAAGAAGGAAGGGAAGGTCAATTTGAATTTGGTATCTACTAGACCAAGATTGAACACACGATCCCAATCAAAACAAAAGAAGAAAAGCCCTCGAATAGAACCCTTGGATGCCTGGTATAGGAGCAGGCTCACGGCCCATCATGATGCCGACGAATTTGTGCGCAAATTGAAATTAAAATTTTTCCCAATATGTTGGAATTGGCAATTGGTACAAGCGCTTTCACGCATTCTATGTTGTGAACCCTTGAGTCTGTTGGTGTAGAGTTGGTCATTCGCATTTGGGTATACTCCCGGTCCCGACTTTTGATATCCATATGTGCTGACATATTGGAGGCAGAGGTCTTCATGTCATTTTGTGGCTGTGCTGACATGCCACTGTGCTTTGCTGCATAGTTCATGCCCTCAGTAGCATTGGTAGTGTACTCGTGTAAGCACCGAATTTTGTTCTTGCAATGAAAGGCAAACTGCTGGTCATTGAGTGTAACAATGTGATTAAGGATCCATCCTACACATTTTTCTGCAGCCTTGTCTCCAACAAATTGCCTGAGTACAGAGTTTGTTTGGAGTTCTTGTAGCAGGAGAGCCTTGGACAATTCATACTCCTTCTTACTGCGGCAGGAAGTCCCGTCAATCCAAGATCTAACCCATCTCCGGATCTCCAGTAGAATGGCTTGTCCATTAGATTGGTTTTTCACCTCATTATCTTTTGGGCCATGTTTCAAGAATGTTTTTTCTATGAGGTGATGCCCACATCTGCCCCAAATCGCATTCTTCACATAACAAAAGATGAATTGATCAACAGCATTATACTCACTTGCATCTCCATCTGTCAATATAAGGTGCATTCGTTTTAGATTTTTAACACCAAGCATAGCTGGCAGTGCCTGTAAGAATATCCATCGGTAGAAAGCTTGTGACTCCTTTGGCATGAAAACATGGATGACCACAAAAGCCTTGCTGGCACTATCCCTCCCGCAAATAAGCAGAAGGGGGTGTCCTTCATCATTGGTCTTGTGAGTGGCATCATTGAACAATACTTCCGGGTAGCGAAGAAACTGACGGTAGTTATTCTATGCAAAAATCATAACTCTGTTACCCGAGAAGGATAGTGTGTTGAAGGGTCTTCATATGCTCCTCTGCCTCTGTAACCAGTTGATGCATCGGAGCTGTTGGAAATCGGTTCTGGCGGACATCAGACTGCTTGTCTTCGTCCAAACCGATTGACAACGTTGTGGCCCATCAAGCCATAATTGCCAACCAGCCGTGCCAGCATGCAACCCATCAAGTCATCATGCATAGGCATTAACCATAGCGATCTCCGATCCGTCTAATAGGAAATAATCATCTCTACAGGAAATAACTATTCTAAAAGACTTGTTATCTACATGGAATGGGCAAAGCAAAAGCCTTGCACGAAAACTCAAATTTCCCAAACCTTTACTGGATGTTTGCAATCCAGAAAGGCCGGTACAAAATCCACGTACAGAACTCCCGCAGGATTCAGTCTGGGATTTTTGTGGCGCTCAGACGTTTGATAGTCCAAGCCCACAATTCCATGTTTTCAGATTCCCTGCAAAAACCGACTCATAGGAATCCCCCGAATAAAAGGACCAAACGGACATTTGTCCGTCTGTCCGATCGGACGTGTCGAACTGCTTCTATCAAGGAGTTTCCAATGGATGGTCTCCAAGAGAGCAATTCCAACAGCTCAGTTGATGGTAGAGAATTTACGACAAAAATTACGACAAACTACGACAAAAATTACGACAAAGTTTTGTCGTTAATCAATCACCAAATGTTTTTGGAGAAATAACCAGCAGATAAGACTCTCCCAAATGTTGCCAGCCGGCCGCACGCCTACCTGTGTCCGCAGAGAGCCCAAACCGGGTGAAATTTCCAACGATTTTTCGAAAACAACTTAAAACTCCTAATTCCTAAATCCAAAAATAAAAGCGCAAGCACGTGCTTCAACGACAAACGACCAGCCGGCTTGCTTGCTTCCGAAACACACAGAAACAGCAAAGACACAACATCTTCACCGACAACAACAAAAACATCACCACAGGAACAGCATCCTTTTCGCCTGTGTGCTTTCAAACAACCAACAAATAGATCTCTTCCCTCTCCTTCTGCCAGTGGTAGGCCAGGAGCAATCCATATTCCTCAGAGACAGGTTCCTGCATCCGCTTCTGCACTCTGAAGTTTTTCCACCTGCCTGTCTACTTTCATTGCGCAAAGAGATTGTCAGTGTGTACCATAAAAGCCCCATTGTGTTGTGCCAAGTCCTCGCTTTTATAAGGTTGGAGACTTGGTGCAGTGAAGTAATTAAGATGTCTGGACGGTCTACAGGTAGGAATGCTACTGCTCTGCGACGAATCAAGAAGGAAGGGAAGGTCAATTTGAATTTGGTATCTACTAGACCAAGATTGAACACACGATCCCAATCAAAACAAAAGAAGAAAAGCCCTCGAATAGAACCCTTGGATGCCTGGTATAGGAGCAGGCTCACGGCCCATCATGATGCCGACGAATTTGTGCGCAAATTGAAATTAAAATTTTTCCCAATATGTTGGAATTGGCAATTGGTACAAGCGCTTTCACGCATTCTATGTTGTGAACCCTTGAGTCTGTTGGTGTAGAGTTGGTCATTCGCATTTGGGTATACTCCCGGTCCCGACTTTTGATATCCATATGTGCTGACATATTGGAGGCAGAGGTCTTCATGTCATTTTGTGGCTGTGCTGACATGCCACTGTGCTTTGCTGCATAGTTCATGCCCTCAGTAGCATTGGTAGTGTACTCGTGTAAGCACCGAATTTTGTTCTTGCAATGAAAGGCAAACTGCTGGTCATTGAGTGTAACAATGTGATTAAGGATCCATCCTACACATTTTTCTGCAGCCTTGTCTCCAACAAATTGCCTGAGTACAGAGTTTGTTTGGAGTTCTTGTAGCAGGAGAGCCTTGGACAATTCATACTCCTTCTTACTGCGGCAGGAAGTCCCGTCAATCCAAGATCTAACCCATCTCCGGATCTCCAGTAGAATGGCTTGTCCATTAGATTGGTTTTTCACCTCATTATCTTTTGGGCCATGTTTCAAGAATGTTTTTTCTATGAGGTGATGCCCACATCTGCCCCAAATCGCATTCTTCACATAACAAAAGATGAATTGATCAACAGCATTATACTCACTTGCATCTCCATCTGTCAATATAAGGTGCATTCGTTTTAGATTTTTAACACCAAGCATAGCTGGCAGTGCCTGTAAGAATATCCATCGGTAGAAAGCTTGTGACTCCTTTGGCATGAAAACATGGATGACCACAAAAGCCTTGCTGGCACTATCCCTCCCGCAAATAAGCAGAAGGGGGTGTCCTTCATCATTGGTCTTGTGAGTGGCATCATTGAACAATACTTCCGGGTAGCGAAGAAACTGACGGTAGTTATTCTATGCAAAAATCATAACTCTGTTACCCGAGAAGGATAGTGTGTTGAAGGGTCTTCATATGCTCCTCTGCCTCTGTAACCAGTTGATGCATCGGAGCTGTTGGAAATCGGTTCTGGCGGACATCAGACTGCTTGTCTTCGTCCAAACCGATTGACAACGTTGTGGCCCATCAAGCCATAATTGCCAACCAGCCGTGCCAGCATGCAACCCATCAAGTCATCATGCATAGGCATTAACCATAGCGATCTCCGATCCGTCTAATAGGAAATAATCATCTCTACAGGAAATAACTATTCTAAAAGACTTGTTATCTACATGGAATGGGCAAAGCAAAAGCCTTGCACGAAAACTCAAATTTCCCAAACCTTTACTGGATGTTTGCAATCCAGAAAGGCCGGTACAAAATCCACGTACAGAACTCCCGCAGGATTCAGTCTGGGATTTTTGTGGCGCTCAGACGTTTGATAGTCCAAGCCCACAATTCCATGTTTTCAGATTCCCTGCAAAAACCGACTCATAGGAATCCCCCGAATAAAAGGACCAAACGGACATTTGTCCGTCTGTCCGATCGGACGTGTCGAACTGCTTCTATCAAGGAGTTTCCAATGGATGGTCTCCAAGAGAGCAATTCCAACAGCTCAGTTGATGGTAGAGAATTTACGACAAAAATTACGACAAACTACGACAAAAATTACGACAAAGTTTTGTCGTTAATCAATCACCAAATGTTTTTGGAGAAATAACCAGCAGATAAGACTCTCCCAAATGTTGCCAGCCGGCCGCACGCCTACCTGTGTCCGCAGAGAGCCCAAACCGGGTGAAATTTCCAACGATTTTTCGAAAACAACTTAAAACTCCTAATTCCTAAATCCAAAAATAAAAGCGCAAGCACGTGCTTCAACGACAAACGACCAGCCGGCTTGCTTGCTTCCGAAACACACAGAAACAGCAAAGACACAACATCTTCACCGACAACAACAAAAACATCACCACAGGAACAGCATCCTTTTCGCCTGTGTGCTTTCAAACAACCAACAAATAGATCTCTTCCCTCTCCTTCTGCCAGTGGTAGGCCAGGAGCAATCCATATTCCTCAGAGACAGGTTCCTGCATCCGCTTCTGCACTCTGAAGTTTTTCCACCTGCCTGTCTACTTTCATTGCGCAAAGAGATTGTCAGTGTGTACCATAAAAGCCCCATTGTGTTGTGCCAAGTCCTCGCTTTTATAAGGTTGGAGACTTGGTGCAGTGAAGTAATTAAGATGTCTGGACGGTCTACAGGTAGGAATGCTACTGCTCTGCGACGAATCAAGAAGGAAGGGAAGGTCAATTTGAATTTGGTATCTACTAGACCAAGATTGAACACACGATCCCAATCAAAACAAAAGAAGAAAAGCCCTCGAATAGAACCCTTGGATGCCTGGTATAGGAGCAGGCTCACGGCACATCATGATGCCGACGAATTTGTACGCAAATTGAAATTAAAATTTTTCCCAATACAGGGACGTCACTATGATGAGAACTGGCTTATTTTTGGACATGTTGCTTGCACTGTCTGTACTTGTTGCTATTTTCCACTTTTTCTCCTCTTCTTTCGATGGTATGTATCCTGGTAACTTTTCTTGCAAGTTTCTGTGTTCAGGGAAAACGATACCATGTCTTGTTGTCCATTTGTTGCTCCAAGGAATGTGCGTTTTTGGCTTTTTTTCATGGCCATGGCTTTCCTCTGGAAGAGCTCCTTTTCAATTGCCTCCATTTGTTCTCTAACAAAATCCAGGTCTCTCTGATTCATACAATTACGGTCAATGTCTTTAAATTTTTGAAAATTGTATGCTCTTGATTTTTGACATAGTTCTTTTGGTTGTTGAAGGCAAAGCTGGTTCACGTTGAAGGCAAGTGCGGCATCGTCTCCCTGTTCATCATAGTCGCTATTGTCATCCTGTCCAAAATTGCTATTGGCTTTGATCTATAACAGGTCAACCATCCTTTTGAGGCATCATAGGTAAATTCACTTCCATGCTTTAGGCCAATTAGTTTCAAATGGTGAAGCAAATCTTTGAGGCCTTGTTTTGTAGGTGGCCAT